GCTGCAATATATTTTTCCCTATCCTCATTTGCATAAACGGCTGAGCCATTTTGTCTGAAAATTAATTCCCCTCCCCCCCCCCCCCCCCGAGGTAGACACTCAGCATGAAACATTTCAGTACAGACAGTTTGGCAAAGTTATCTTATATAGGAAGTGCTAGCAGCCTTTGTACCAAACAGTGCTACCAGCACTGCCTACAATATCAACTTATTGTTAATTGGTTTTTCACACACATGGTCTTTCACAATGCTTTAGAGTTAACACAGCTGTTAAATAATATAATGGAGAGTGAGATAAATTAGAGTTAAATAGCTAAGGGAGAAAAGAGGTTTTCACTTAAGATTTTTAATGAGGTGGAGATTCAGTGAGGCAGAAAGATCCAGGGAAGCTGTTTTGGATGGCTGGAGTTTCAGAGGAGATGGTTCTGACACTTACAGTAGCCAGATTGTGAGGTGAGGCAAAGGAGGTCTGCTCTAGACAAGGAGGAATGGGGAATAGAGAGTGATAATGTCTGGGGGAAAGGCAGGAGCAAGTTTTTGCAGGATTTTAAAAACAAGGAAGCAATAATGTTTGAAGTAGGTAATCTGAGTTGAACTTGTGCCTGCCATTTCATCCTAAGTGATATCCCTTTCAAAACACCTGCATCTAGACCCCTCATAATGACCTCTCTTTCCCCATGTCTTCATCAGTGCTAACATGAGCTTTCTGATAAGAGATGATGAAGTGTGGCAAATGAAGACCTACTGGGGCGGGGGGAAAGAGGGATGGGAGTCCTCGGGGTATTTTTGACTTTGGATATCCAATCTGTCAGCACAGTGCTTTTCACTAGGCTTTTTGTTTAATGTCATGACACTTGAAATCCCCGTGCAGAAACTTACAAAAGCAGTGATGAATAAAAAATGCCCCAGATAGCAACATGGCCATGGGCAGAAATGAGAGCAGAATTGTGCCCTGTGCTTCATACTCATTTAATTTCTGTGGTTCCCTAATTTTAATTCCTTCCTTCCTCTTTGGTTAATAAAATGTCTGTAGCCTGAGTGTTTTTGTGTTGCTTTCTTTATTGTCTGTTTCTTTGCCACATACCTTTTTCATATTTAAAGCAACCTCATGCAATTAACTTGGTCACACTATTCTCTGTTTTATCATCATCAGACTCTGTCTAGAGCCTGACATTTCATACTGAGCAAGTGTTAACCTAGGCTCTCCTCAGTGCCTTTATTAATGAGGAAGTATCCAGCTAAGTAGAGCCTAGATAAATTAATCAGTATACTCCTAATGACATGTTTATTTTGTTGTAAATTGATGGTAATTGCTTGCTTCTCAGATATGTCCAAGACACAGAAGTAAAAATTGTAGCCAATGGCCTTTGTTAACAATGAATTGGGAAGGATGACATTGCTTTTGCAATAATTAAGAAACTACATAGAATCGTATTTTTAAAATTACTACATTTGGCATATTTTTTTCTCATTGCTTTTAAATCTGTTTAAGATTATTTCAAAATCTGACATTTAACAACTATTAGTGAACCAGGCAGAGCTCAAAAGCTGTCAGCTTAACCTTTCCCAGGTGGAGGAAAAGTGAAATCAGACATTAGTTGCTGAGTCTGCTGCTATGTTTTTTCTACCACTGGTCATCTAATGATGGGTGTTTCCTTTGTGCATGTGTGTCTAGTGGAACATGATCTGGATCAGATTGACTATATTGATAGCTGTGCCACTGAAGAGGAAGAGGAAGAGGTGAGGCAACCCAAGTGCATGGAGTCAGAGAGCCTCAGCTCACAATTCATGGCCTATATTGAACAACGGCGAATCTCTCATGAGGTGGTGCTTTTATTTAAATTAGTTACGTTCCTATACCCCAATGAAAGCCTTTGTGATGGTGTTAATATTTCTTGTCTGTAGAGGTTGACCTTGATAAACAATGTGACAGCTGGCTTGGAGCAACAGGCTTTGCCTTGTGGAGGATCTGAGCTTGAGTCCTGAGCTGCTACAAACTACACCTGTATCAGACACTCAGAATGATTCTACGGGTGGCTGTACTGAGTTCTGTTCAAAGGCAAAATTCCTGCAGGATGTGGGGGGAGTAAATGGGGTTCCCAAAGGAACCCTTCCCTCAGAAAACATTGAAGTTGATGCTTCCCATATGTGCTTGCACCCAGGCAACCACTCATGTCTCCTTCATTTGGTAATACCTAGTAAATGCTGGCTTGTTTGAGGTCAAAACATAGCTAATGTGTTGATCTCTGTCAGCACAAGGACTTATTTTAGGGATCTTTCAGCTATGTTAATTTGGTGGGGCTTTCCTATGGATTGTAAATTAAATGCCAATAAATTTACCAAAGTGGGCATCCCTTTTAATTGCGAATTTTAAATGAAAAAGAGGATTTGTTCTAAAGTCTGATATTTTGTAACAGAGGATGGCTTGCTCCATGTTAACATCTTGAGTAATGCTCTGTAAAATACAACCTGGGAACGCATATGCACAAAGTTTTGAGCAAAAATTCTGTGTTTAACTATGTGACATGATATTTTTATGAGTCAATCCCAGGAGACAGTAAATGGGCAATAAATAGGGCTATTTAAAGTTTGTTAAAAACCTGTAAGGAGACTTGATTACAAGTGGCTAAAAACAAGTATAAGCATCCTTAGGCTATAGCTTTTTTTTGGCTTAAAAACCGTGGTCTTTGTCCTTATTATTGCAGACAAACCTGAACAATGTACGTTTTGTTTCTATCCTCGAGTAGCGTGCTGTTTTGAAGGTAGTCTGTGGTATGTGAGCTGGAATGGCAGACTAGAAATCTGAGCGCTATCACTGTTCCAGCAGTAGCATTTCAAGTTGCATTGTGGGTCAGACAACAAGCTCCCATTTCCCCAGAATGGGTCAAAGTGGTTCTTATTTGCTTTCCCGTAATTTGCTACATATTTGGTAGTATCATTTGTTACTAATTACTGCTTTTACTGCTCTTGTTCTGGTTCCAAATGATAGCATTGGGGGGAGGCATGATCACTCCTACACAGTTACAATGCAATTGTCTTGAGTCCTTGTTTAATTTTAGTACACCTCTACCCCGATATAACACGAATTTGGATATAACGTGGTAAAGTAGCGCTCCGGGGGGGGCAGGGCTGCACGCTCTGGCGGATCAAAGCAAGTTCAATATAATGCGGTCAGATTTTTTGGCTCCCGAGGACAGCGTTCTATCGGGGTAGAGGTGTACCTTGTGACCAAATATAGATTAGCATGCCCTTGACCAAAATTCCATGATTGTTTCTTTAAAACTGTATGACTCCCTGCAACTGAAAAACATCTTTGCTTTGGTTATCGTCGCTACTGTTATACATAAGGCAAGAGAAACTGATCCTTGCTGTGACAGTCTGCACACAAGGAAGTGGAAAATTGTAAAGTTTCTGCATAAAACAAAAATTAAATGCAGGAAGCATTAAGCAATGTGACGTTGCCTTCTCTATGCCATGTTAATCTAAATTCATCCCCTGCGTGTAGGTGTAAAGGGGTCTCAGCACAGCAGGAATCTTACATAGTACATAAGCAACCTGTTCCAGATAACCTTCTATTTTGCTTCAAGCACTTAAGCAATACACATTGTGCTCAAATTCAAATGTATCTGTTCCTTCGTAAGTTCGTTTAATGCTTTGAGGAGGTAAAGATCTTTCTTCATTTCCTTTATTTTATCTTGTCAGAATCTCTTTAGGAGTCTAAAGCATGTCCTTGTTTTGTGCACTTCGTCATTCCCCTACTTACATTAGTGAAATCTGCAGTGACCCAGATTTCTATTGACAATGTATTGATTCTGCAAGTGCCTGTTTCTCTGGTTTGTCTATATGGTATCATCACAGAATACCAGCTGTTGAATCTTATTGTCTGAGAGAGCCTGGAATACACTATGCTAAAACTGTAGATGTGTACTTTGGTCTCCAACACCATACATCTTATAAGTTACATTAGTTATTTTATACCTACACCTCATCCACATAGCCTGGTAATTCTGTTTTTTACACTATAACTTATCAACAGGTAGGCTTAATTTTGAAGTTCAACTTTCAGTAAATTACATGCAAGGTACAAAAATGATTCTGCATCATTTCCGATATCTTCCATTGGTTGTGTTTTATTTTGTTTCTTTGTCAGACATCTTAACGACCAGTAATCACACATTTGGATCTAGACAAATTGATGGAACCTACACTTCGTTTGGTTTAATCAAAATTCTTAGACTTGCAGACACAGCATTCTGAATACATTACTAACTTCATTGTCTTCTGTTTTGTTTGCTTAGGGCTCACCAGTAAAGCCAGTGCCCATCAGAGATTTTCAGAGAACAGAAGACACAAGACGATACTTGCATCAAAATAGGTAGAAGAACCTGATGAAAGTACATTTATTCATGATAGTGCCAGTGGCATACATGTGCTTTATAGATGTGTTCGATAGGTGCCCTACTCTGAAAAATATACGATCTACATGATCATTTGAAACCAACACTTGATTTCACTGTGATGTTATGGCTGATATTTATACCTCCATAAACATTTCTGTTCTTTTCATAACTAGGCCAAATTGGCAGAAGAGCATACATTTCTCTTGCTAAAATACTGTAGATTGGAGGAAATTGTAGCTGAAAGTTACAGTGCAGATTGCATTGAGTGACACTGAACAGTGGATGTAGTTTTCTACTACCTAATCAGAAATGTGCAACACTTTACAAACGGGCTATTGTTCCTGTCCCAGGAACTTACAGTCTAGGTAAAATGAGGAATGATGCGGTAAGGTGACAAAAACATTGCCTATAGTACAAAAGTTCACAGGTTTAACTAAAGTGACTTAAAAATCTATCTACTTAAATTCCATTACATTTAAACTGGTTTAACTTATGCTAATATCAATTTTTAGCTTAAGTTGGCAATTTATCAATGCAAGCTAAATCTATATAAATTCTGAATTTAAGCAAAATCAATATAAGCAAGGATTAAAATGGTTTAAGTGAATCTATATGAGGAGTTTGCACTGGTTTAGTTAGATTAGTTTTTAAATTAAACAAGTGCACTTTGCTAGTATAGACAAAACCTCAAATGCCATGGAGGAAGGGAGATTAGAAGGAAAGGAAAGCAAGGATTACAGCAATAAAATCATATATTTGTTTGGAATGAATTAATGACACAAGCTTCTTGAGGGTTACACAGAATTTTTAGGATAGTCACTTTTGGAATAGTAAGGTTCATCCTTGTGGAAGAAGTGTGTGTTAAGCTGAGAGTTGGCGAGGATGGTAACATGGTGGGCAGGATAAAGAAGAGTATTTCAGGTTTAGGGAGTCAAATGGAAGGATGCCCAGGGACAAGAGCAGAAGGAGAGGAGATACAATTCAGTGTATTTATAGTGCCTCATTGGTGCAGTTGAAGTTAAGGTTCTGTCAGTTTTGATAGGTCACTGAGCGGTTTTTGCTTTTGGTTAAAACTGGATACGCAGGGACTGAGCAGAAAGTTGTTTGGTTTGTTTTTTGTTTTTTTACTTGCAGGATAAAAATAGTTTTGGCTGTATATAGTAATATTAGAGCAGGGAGTCTCACAGCAAATTTTTGGGTGGCCTCAGAGTGTGGCCACCAACTTTCGCTGGTGACCGCTCTGACTGTTTTTCCTAAAATAATTAACTTTAGGAAAAACAAATAAATATGCACATACAGGTGTCCAAATTATTTGTAATTTATGTAGGGTTTTTTTGCAGACTCGATAATTAAACATAATATACAGTTTTCTATTCTTTATTGGACCTAAACAGAATAGAAACACAAATAAGGTGCTTTGCATGTTTTCCTTTTTTTTGGTTGCTTTTTTTTTTTAGACCTGCTAGCTAGTAAGGCTGCTACTGTGAAAAGTGACATTTGTATATTTGTTAATATCATTTTTCATAACAGACTTGCCAGCTAGCTGGGAGGCTGTGAAAAGTGATATTGTTAATATTTTCACAGCAGACTTACTCTGCCCTGGCAAGCTGGGGGACAAATTAAGCCCTGGATGGGGAAGTGGGTAGGGAGCTAAGGGGCAATGTGGGGATAGATGGGAGGCTGCGGGAGTCAGGGGAGATGAGGGAGGTGAGCCCAGGGTGGGAGCCTGAGGCCCTAGTGCACAGATGGCGACTGGAGGAGGAGCGGGGGCCAGGGGCGATGTGTGGGGGGTGAGCCTGGAGTCCTGCGGCTGGGGGTTAGAGCCTGCTGCTGTATGGCCAGAGCCTGTCGCCCACCACCCCAGGGCTTAAGCCTGAAGCCTGAGCCCCACCGTCCCCAGGAAGGTGGGGAACTCATGCTGGCCACCTGCTCCTACAGTGTTTGTGGCTCCAGAAGGGGACAGAGACCAGCCCCTGCTGGCGGCCCTGGGGAAGGGTAACCCACCACCCCTCACCCAGGAGACTGTGGCCACAAGAAAAGCCCCTGGTGGCTGCATGCAGCCATGGTGGCCGCATTTGAGAAGCGCTGTATTGGAATAAGACACACACTGGTTTTGGATACTTCACTCTTTATGCCCTAACTAGAAGCAAATTTTTGAAATGAACTTGGCAATTCCCTTAAATTGGACCTCTCTCTTCTGGCTATTATAGGGAAACTGAAACTAAGAACAACAGATATATTTTTCAAAAGCTGTTAGGCACATGGGAAGCAACTATCCTTCATGGATTTTTCTAAGGAATTTTGATTCATGCGGTTAATGTGCATGTGCAGTAGCTGTACTGACATCATAGATGGTAACTGATTCAGCATGTGTCAGAATTCCTTACCCTGTAGTGTCCACCAGTAAACTTTGAAATAATAGAGCAGCCTGCCATCTCCTCCACAAATGATGAGTGCCTTGGTCTGAAAGACTCTTTTTACCTGCCTTTTGATTTGTGTTTTACATGGAAATAACTTAAGAGACTTCACAAACATTGGACTGCGTGACACAGCTGAAGAAAATAGGACAAGACAAGTCAAGTTAGACAGGAGAGACCTTCTATTTACGTATACAAATCTTGGCAGTCTGCAATGACAATAAAGGAAATTATATAGTTCAATAGGGTTCAGATGATTTCAAAGTTTAACTCAGGGGCGGCAGCCGATCTTTAAGCAGAGGCTTGTAATCCAACATCTAACTAAATTACAGCACATTCTTATTACACTGCAGTGAAATAGAATTCTTAATGAAATACTAAAAAAATCAGACCATATTGTTGTTGCTTCCAAAATTAAGGAAAAATCACCATGCAAAATTAATTAGTGGGTTTTTTGGGGGGAGGGGGGACGGTTGGTATTATGAAGTTCATAGTACTGGAATATGTTGCTTGTGCCAACCACATCAGTTGTAAACTGCTCCCACAACAATTTTCTGTAAATGCCTTGGCAAGAAGACTTTTTTTTTTCCTTCTCCAAAGCACACTGGAGCCATTAAAGCCCTTGTAAAGCTAGACGTAATTCAGACTTCATCTTAAGAGTAGCTAGTTAAATACAGCTTGCACAAGCGTGCAGTCTGTAAAAAGTTCCTGATTCAGCAATGCTATGTGCTACTTAGATCTGCATATGGAGTTTGGGTTTTGTTGCTCACTTCACCCAGTGTTCTTCCTGCCAGTCAACACAGTAATGGGTGCATCACGTATAGCATCTGACATCTAGAGCTTAATTTTAGAAATAGGCATCTTAAGTTGTGTACACAAAATACTTCCTTGTGGAACATGTGCAGTTACCCATTTGAATGCAGTTACCTCTTTTGCCCATGCAACTGCACATTTTGTGTGCTCAGTTTTGTTTGTACCCGAGGAGGTATGTCTTGCATCTATTACTTAAGTGCCTGTTTTTAAAAATATTTTGCCTTATGTTTTAAATTAGAGAACAATTCGTAGAGAAAACTCAGATGCCTTTTGCGTATGCCTTCTTTTGTTACTGACACTGTTACTGGACATTTAATTTAACTGATGCATTTCAAGTTTGTTCTGTTCTCCCTCACTTACAAGCAAACAAATTATTAGCTAAGGTCTTTACAGATCTGTTTCTGGTGTTCATATACGAGACAGTAAGGACTCAGATGGACTTTGCAACACTGGCTGTTAGAAAAATAATCTTTTAATCAATGAACTAAGCAGATTTGTTCTAAAAGTGTGAGAAAGAATAATGAAGTTCTTCATTGACTTTTTTTAACTAATGCTCTTCCCAGAGTTAGCTGCACTCCAAAAGCCAAGAACTCAGTGTTAAAACAGAAATTCCATCTTTTTGCACCTTTTAAAATTGTTGTACTCAATAGTGATATTACTAGAATGCTTTAATATTTATATTACAACAGTTGTTAGCCTAGCCTTAAATCTGAACTTTCTTGCTTTGGTCATCTTTAAATTTAGTCTTGAATGTTATCAGAAGTTAACTGTTTAGTCATTTACTTTTATAAGCAGCTAATAATTAGAAAAAAAATGACATTTGTTTGCCATTTCTGCACATCAAGAACCAACCTCCAATCTGTGTTTACTTTCAGGGATACTGATGAATTACGAAGACCAGAAACACTAACCTTGATGCAGGACAGAGAGCGACACCAAGGACAGAGGAGTTATGTAGACAAGGCAGAGAGGTAGTGAAAAGAAGCATGTGATTTCTGTTTTAAAATCAAGTATCTCTTCAATAATAGGCCTGATAATCAATTGCTTCTTGATATGAGGTTGAACTAAAAAGGTCTTAGAGACAGTTAAATAAGTAACTTACTGAAAGCTGTCAGATAGTGGCAGGAGTGAAAGTAACTGAGGACACTTACCGGTACGGGGGGTGGCTTTGGCCTCCGGAAGGGGCGGGGCCTCAGGCAGAAGGGGCGGGGCTGGGGATTAGCATCCCCCAGCCAGCCCTTGGCCTGCACTGCCTGGGGCTCCCGTGTTGATTTAAAGGGCCGGGAGTTCCGGACGCTGCTGCTGCGGTAGCGGCAGCAATGTCTGGAGCCCCGGGCCCTTTTAAATCGCCGGCCCCAGGGCAGGTGCTCCCTTTGCCCCTCTCTCCTCCTCCCGCCTCCCCCCCCCCCGCCCGTCAGTGGCCAGGGGGGCAAAAGGGGCAGGGATGTTAAAGCACTGCATGGTCCTTCGCCGCAGCAGTGCTTTAACGTTGCTACCCCCCCTCCCCTCCCGTCAGCAGGGGGGCGCAGCAACATTAAAGCGCTGCCGCGGCAAAGGACCATCCTTAATGTTGCTCCTCCCGCCTTCTCACCCCCCGTCTGCAGCCCTGCCGGTATGGGCCCTACCGGCAGGGCCCCCGACAGGGGAGGCAAAAGGGGCCAGGGACATTAAAGCGCGGCTGTGGCTGTGCTTTAATGTGGGCTGGGTGTGGGCCGGTGCGGGTTCTTACCGGTATGGAGTACTGGACCGTACCGGCTCATTTTCACCCCTGGATAGTGGTTATTAAGTTCTGAATATAGTCCTGAGATAAGCCAAATTTCACACTATTGTCAATACACTTTCAGCTGTAAAAGGACTTTGGTTTTACACTGGAAATGTGACACAAACTATAGTCCATTGTCTGTGATATAATAAGAAATTATTAGATCATTATTGCTGCAGTTGGATTTAACAACTTGTGTGTTAATTTAGAAAACATAGTTATTTATCCATTGTTGATTAGAATATCTTATCATTGTTGACTGTTGATGTGTGAAGAATGATTAAATGTAATGAGAAAAGTATACTTATTCTTTGTATGGCTGTCTTTTTATTTATCAGAGCTCCAGCTGATTCATCTTACCTTCTATCTCTGTCCAACAACCACAGTCAGGTAATACACTGTACACCTTTGCTTTACTCTTTTGAGTGTGTTTCTCTTTTATGACAAACTAACTTGCTTTTACCCAGTTGATCCACAAAAACATGTGTTGTGTCTCCATAATCTCCCCACCGCTCTCTTTGCACCTATCTTCAATCTTGCAGCCTAATGCATTTATTTTGATATGCAATGGATAATTATTTTGTTCCAGATCTCTCATACAGACGTTGAACTTCACCGAAGGCGAGAGCATGTAGTGGAGCGCACTCGGAGAGAGGCCCAGCTCGCAGCACTTCAGTATGAGGAGGACAGGATGAGGACGAAACAGATCCAGAGGGAAGCTGTGCTTGACTTTGTCAAAGTAAGTCATTTTAGGATTTACTTGTTGTCTAATATGTACCTTTCCTGGGTCCTCCACAAAATGAATCGTCTGGCTTATTATTAAGGCTGCCATTTAGTCATGGGTATTTTTAATAAATGTCATGGACAGGTCACGGGGCCATGAATTTTTTTTTATTGCCCGTGAGCTGTCCATGACTTTTATTAAAAATACCTGCTCTGAGGAAGGGACGGGTGGGGGGCGGGCAGGGGGGAGCCGCTGCTCAGGGGGTGGGGGGAGGGCGCTGAGCAGTGGCTGCTCTGGTTGCCCCCAAGGCCACATCCCTGCTGCTGCTCCGGCCGCTCCCAGGACCACTGCTGGGGGCCACTGAGCTGTGGCTGCTCCTGCTGCCCCAGGGACCATTGCTCAGGGGGGCTCCGGAGCCAGCAGTATCCGTCACTGAGCAGCTGTCCCTGAGGTCTGCCACACTGGCTGCTGCAGAAATCACCGAGGTCATGGAATCCGTGACTTCTGCGACCTCCGTGACAGACACAGAGTCCCAATTATTATTTAACATTGGTATATCACGCCATAGGTGTGCATGACGTTTTACAGAGAGAACAAAGAAATAGTCTCTGCTCCTGGAAACTTCCAATCTAAGTTATAACTGTAGCTTGATGCAGGGAGAGATGATATTAGGGAAATGGGGAGAGGGAGGTTTACAGTTACAAAATGTCTTGTTTTCACAGAGGGTGCATTATGTTCATCACTTTTCTCATTAATTTAGATTTGATAAGGTTGGCCTTGTTGGAGAAATTGTAGAAAGAAGTAGGCTTTGAGGAGAGATTTGGAAGATGAGGAGATGGTTGTACAGATGAGAGGGGACTGTGGTCTAACCAATTTCCACACCTTAGATCTCTTTTTCTATCAGTGATTAGCACATTCAACTCTAGCTATCACAAAGAAAATGCTACATTTACACTTGATGATTAAGAATGATCTGTGTCTTCGAAATGTATGAAGCCACTTTAAGGAAGGGATTTTAGTGGACCATTCAAAACTCTGGTTTCTATTAAAACCTATTTAGCTCGGACTCTTCGCAACACTTGGGAGAAGAGCTGTCTTTGTTAAAGATGCAAGCCCCTCTCCCTTTCAGACTTGATGTATTTCGTATGCATGCTTTTGTGCTGAAATTCTACAGAATTGTAACATATATGATTGTTAGCAATGTCACATCATTACTACTGTTTAAAGGTCTTACAGAAGTGCCCAAAACAATTGACTCTCATAGAATAATTGTTGCTAGACGTAAAGAGAACTGAATGAAAACATTGTTATTCATGAGCAGTTAGATATTTTCAGCTAGGTACTTCCTGTTTGGGGAAATGTTTTGGGCTTTTTGTATAACTTGAATATTAAAATGTTTTTAAAATGATATAGAAGTTTTAGCCTGAGAATATTCACTAAGTTTAGTTTAGTGAAAACTTGAAAGTTCCTCAGTGCCTATTTTATTTAAAATTAAGGCTTCCAGTGTTTTAAAACACCTCTAAATACTGCTCTCTTATTCCTGTTATAATCAAGTTTATGCTTTCCTATCAGCTCCTATTAACTCATTCCTTTGATTGTTCTGCAGCAAAAGGCATCCCAGAGTCCTCAGAAGCAAAGTCCTCTGGATAGTGAGGTAAGAGCAGCATAGTGTATTAAGGTGTGTGCTGACTTTATCCCTGATTTTTAGTACCCTCTGTTGAAACATTTTGTTGCTTGTGGTGTAACCTTCAGTGGTTAGTTTAAAGAAAACTGTGCAGGAGCTAAAGAACGACAATTCTTTTTGTTGCTTATCATAACAGTAATATGCCATATTTTTCCTTCAGTTTCATGTATGATTCCTCTGTACTCCGTGTGTTTTGTTGTGTTGCTTTTGGGTGCTTTTCATGTTTATATATAATACACTTCATGTTACATTTAAGATTCTTCTTGAAGCAGTGCAGCTAGGTTAATTAACTTTCTATTAGGAGAACTAAAATAAGCACTTGTACTGTGTTGCAGTCATTTCTGTCCTAGTGTCCTCTCTTCCCTTTCTTCACATATTTTATTATTGTTAAATTACTAATTACCCCTGAAAATGAAGCATCAGAACTTTTTGTGTTCCCAGTGAACAATACCAGCTTTGGTTTTGCTCTTCTTATTACCTAAACTCTAATAACTAAATTATACTTGAAAAAAATTTTTAAATGGTTTCACACTGTGCTGAAACAGATCATGGCTTAAAAGCTGACCTGATCTAATGACATTTGTTCATTTTCCACATTAAATTTCTGTAGAGTAATAAAATAGCTTTTTGTCCTATTGAAAGATAATTTTAGTTGGCAGTATTAATCACATCGGAAGCGTTAATGACTACAGTACTCAGAAAATTAGTTGAGAAGCATTTTCCAGTTGACTATTTCATGTGAAAATTATGCAAACTGGACTGTTTTAAATAGTTTTTTCCTCCTTTCTTACTTGATAGTCTTCTGATTTGTAATATTGGCTAAGGATTCTCTTGCAATTCCACAGTAAGAAAAAGAACAGCAACAGAAAATAAAATAATTTGTTCTTGAATTGGTACGAACACATTCTAACCACAGATCATGTGACTACATATTAATACATTTTCTATTGTTTAGTTACACATACTATATTGCATTGTAAACCATAGAGCAAAACTGCCCCAAAATGCTATCAACATAAAGAAACTCACCATATTCCAGAATGTTTGTGTGAGTTTGTATATTATGTCATTGTGTTTGTATGTTTCTGACATTCCTCCATCTCTCCCACCTCCTCAGTGTCCTTTTCCATCCAGAAGGTCTCAGCACACTGATGATAGTGCCTTGTTAGTGGTAAGAACCCTGCACGAAATGGCCTGTTTATGTGGCAGAACCTAGAACATAGAGTTAGCATGATTCACGCAGATTAGACAGATTTAGTAGAGCTAATCTGAATAGCATAAAACATGGCTATCTTCGCTACAAAGTGATTTGATTTTGTTGTGAACTCTGATACTATTGAATTCACATTTGCACTGCCTTCCAGCTGTTATGCATCCAGTGTTAATACACTGAAATTTCCCCATGTTTGCAAAAGCTAAACATTTTAATAAGAGTGTAATGATATAAATGTTGCTGGAAATGAGAACAGTTTCTAAAATGCAGTGTTACCTGAAGAAGAGCTTGGTGTAAGATCAAAAGCGTGTCCCTCTCACCAACAGCGGTTGGTCCAATAAAAGATATTACCTCACTCCTTTGTCTCTTATGTTACCTCATTAACAGTCCAACTTTAGTACATTCTTCTATTAGGCTCACCTGCACGTTACCTAATACTTTAGTTTCACAACATTAATATAAAGCTTGGAGATGTGTCCTCCTGCCTTAGCTTGTTTGCCTACCAATCATTGCCTTATTTGTTGGATCTAGGGTCTTAGTCATCATAGACTATGGTAACAGAAGAGGAGGTTCACAAGTCACATATTATTTTTTGCTTCTGTTTCACTGTTTATCAGTGAAAATGTGTATAAAATCACCGATTCTGGATGTTTTAAAAAAGTTTAAACATTAATAGAGCTACTTCATTCATGTTTTATGCTATTCCTTTCATAGTACCTTAGAGAGATTCATAGTAACTAAAGAGTTGAGTTAATGCAGTAGTTTTCTCCTTTCATCGCCTACAGAAAATGCATCAGATCTGCCTGCCATTGCATGACTGCATGCCTCAGATTTATTTTTTTATTACATACCCTTCAGTTCTCTGCCTGCGTGTTCCTGTGTACAGCAAGGTTATCAAGTGCAGCTCAGGAGCATTGAAACGCGATAGTAGAGAGGTCAAAATTGTGAAGGTTGTCCCTATTCAGATTGTTGGGATTGCATAATGCTTGGCATCTCTCTCACTGCTCAAGTGCTTCATTTCATTTCATATTAAATACAGATTAGATGTTGGAACAATAAGAAATAGGGTATGTAATAAATTAAGGAGTTACATTTAGCTTTTGCTTTTAGATATGGTCATGCCTAGAACTATCTATATCAGGGGTCGGCAACCTGCGGCACGCGTGCGAAAGGTGGCACGCAAGTCGATTTTTAGTGGCACTCTGCTGCCAGCCGGGGTCCCAGCCGCCGGCCCTGCTCAGCCCGCTGCCAGCCTGGATGAACGGAACCCCAGGCCGGCAGCAGGCTAAATGGGGCCAGCGGCCGGGACCCCAGCTGTCAGGAGCCAGCGGATGGAAGGGGTCCTGGCCGCTGGCCCTGCTCAGCCCGCTGCCGGCCTCGGATACTGGCCATCGGCCCCACTCAGCCTGCAGCCAGTCTGGGGTTCCGGCCACCGGCCTCCTGCCAGCCGGAGTCCTGGCCACCAGCCCCGCTCAGCTCGCTGCTGGCCTGGGATACCAGCCACCGGCCTTGCTCACCTCGCTGCACTATTATTTACTTTACATACAACAATAATTTAGTTATATATTATAGACTTACAGAGAGAGACCTTCTAAAAACGTTAACATGTATTACTGGCACGCAAAACCTTAAATTACAGTGAATAAATGAAGACTTGACACCCCACTTCTGAAAGGTTGCCGACCCCTGATCTATATAGATCATTATCTTGTAGTGTAGAATATATTTTACTTATTTACTCATTCTTATATAATAAATTCAGGGGGGAAAAACTAAACAGAAAAGGTTATTTTTCTCCCAGTTGTTGATATTCAGTTTTTATGAACTTCAAGTGTTTGAAATATATTTATCAGGCATATTGTAGGGAATCTTTTCTATTTGATGTTGTTGTTCAATTGGTGAAGTATTAAATTAATCTATTGCATTTTATATGCTGTACATAACTACATGGAGATTTCAGAAATGTGCTTTCCCTGTTATGTTACTGGGACTTTAATCACTGTGGCCTTCTTTTAATATCTTCACTCATGTTCACATCTGCATATTTTACCGAGTGACAGCCAGGAAATTTATAATTCCCTAGCTAATAGGGAAATTTTTACATCAAACTGTTAAATTGGTTTCCCCATTCTGTTACTTTTACTATTTTGCAGAATTATTAAATTATAATAATCCAGTACTCTTTGCCTGAAAATACCAGTTCTGAAGAACTGTTCATCATGTGCTGCAGGTTGTTTTGTACTGAGAATGATCATACTTATGCCTATTGATTATATAAACCAGGAAAACTGTTTCTAATGAGTAATTGAAACATTGAGCCATGGAAATTTCATAAAATGTAGCATTTACATTTATAAAAAAGTACTGTTTCTAAAAAAGAACAGATACGTGTTATTGGGCAAGTTATCAGTCTGCTTCAAAAGAGTTGCTTGTGATTGGAGTTAAAACTACTTTAACTCCAGTTAGGCTTCATCTGTCGTTTTCACCAGCCTTAGGGATTTGAAATGTAATTTATTTTTCTTTCACAGCTAGCTTTTGTACATTTCTTCTTCCACTGGTGTGCAGAGAGCGTTACATGCTTCACTCCCACTTCTTGATGGCTGTTTTTTCCTTTATATTTATTTTCTGAAATATGTCTAGGTGGACTTGGGAAGAATAAACACCTCTTTTCTTTTCTCTGCTTTAAAAAACTATGAATGATTATATGGATTTTAGTGAATTTGACCTAAGTAATTATTGTGCACTTCTGAACTTGCAGATAAATTTTATTTGAAAGTACCTGATTTTATTCCAGTGGAGACTCTAACAATTACTCTTGCTTTATGGGAGTAGTGTTCTATTTTAAACACAATGGAGTTCTATGTAGAACTATAATAAAGACCTTTTGTTTGGCATTTCCCTCATTACGTCAGAGCTCTGCAAACTGAGAAGTTGCTTTTCTTTTGTTCTAAACCAGTGGTTCTCAAACTTCATTGCACCATGACCCCCTTCTGACAACAAAAATTATTACACGACCTCAGGAGGGTGGACTGAAGCTTGAGCCCACCCAAGCCCCACCATCAGAGCAGGAGTGGGGGGTGTAGGCCTGTAACCTGAGCCCCGCTGCTCAGGACTCAAGCCCTGGGTGGTGGGGCTCAGGTGTCGGCTTCAGCCCAGGCCCCAACAAATCTAACACCAGCTTTGGTGACACCATTAAAACGGGGTCCCAACCCACTTTGGGGTCGTGACCCACAATTTGAGAACCGCTGCTCTAAACAATAGTTTCACCTGCTTGTAAGGAAACTGCATGAAAACTGGTTGATTGGAAAACTTTGTATGCTTTCCCCCCCTTTATGCTCTTCTTGCATGCACAGAAAGTGGTAATGGAAAAGGAACTTAGGTTTGCAGCCTTCTTTTGAAGTCTCACACCATATATTTCTTGGGCCTCTTTGTAAATGTTGCCCTTCATGAGAATGGTTGCTGTAAAGATAAACTTTTCACAAATCACAAAATTAGGCAATGCAGTAGACTTTCAGCTGTAGTACTTTATTTTGTTTGTACACTTTCCTTTTATAAAGGTCTGTTGTCCTCACAATACACAGATACACATACTATTCCTGTAAGCACTAATAGTAGTACAGATTAGTCGTATGTTTCTTCTAATGTGTGTGAATTAAAGTGATTCCATGACAAGTGGAGTTAGACCATAGTATCGGAAATGTGCACACTGTGATGAACTTCAATCTTGTTGATTAATTTCAGCCAGACTGACTAAAAGTTTGCTAAAAATGAGAGAGAGAAATCGGTGTTCTCTGAGGGGAGCCAAAGGGGGTTGTTATCCATGTGTCGGTTGTACACTAGAACCAAATCCTGCTTGCCTTACTCACAAAAGTAGTCCCATTGGTTATAACTGAGGTTACTTGCATTGACCATACCAAGGTCTCAGCCTGTGCTGTGACCACTGCTTTTTACTGTATTTGTCCTCTCACGGTTGCCTGGGCCTCACCCTAGTTGTTGTATTCACCTGTCATGTCTCATCTTATACTTGGATCATAAGCTCTTCGGGTCATGGACCATCTTTTCATTGCGTGCACAGCACCTAGTACGTTGGGGCCATGATCCACAATTAGGACCTGAAAGCACTACTGCAGGGCAGTAATAATTGTGTGAGTAAAGTGAGCAGGATTTAGCAATATTGTAACTTGTATTTTTGATTTTTCTGACTATCAGACAGAGGGTGTCCTTTTCAGTATTTACATACTTAATTATTGAATTCACCCATAATTAAATTGTAATATCCTGATTCTTCTAGGGCACAGTTCTTCTTTTGAATCTGCTCCGTACAATCCCTATTTGCTGCAATTAGTCCTAGTGCGGGGAAATTCCTGTGACTTCAGTAATAAGAGCTGAGCATGGAGGCCAAGTGAAGAGTTTACAACAGCATATTTTAGGAATGAATTGTTGAACCTGTCACCAAGACCAGTATCCTGGTTCCTTTGTCGTTGAATGTACGTCTTCTCAAGATGATTCTTTGCCTCACTTTACTTCCTCCTCTTTTTCCTCTCTCTTTCCTCTGCTATTCCTGACAGAATGGCTTTGAGCCTCTCTTTGTGTTTGAGATTGACAATAACACCAATACCATTAAAAGAAGGCCGGGAACTCTCAAACAGGTGAAGAGCATGCAGCGTGTTACTGTTGTGGCTGTCTTACTCTTTTGTGTACCGCTGTTTCCTCCCTGTTGCCTGCTGATGGGTGTGTGATTTGTGTCTAAGCCCTTCTGTTAGCCTGTGTCAGGGATGACTTGCTCGTTTCTTATAGAAACAAAGTGTTCAGTTAACGTTGTGGGCCTGCGCAAATCCCTTTCTTTAGGCATCATTTAAAAGCCTGTGGGTTTTTTACTTGTTTTGTCAACTGTATCCCAGGCACGAACCAGGCCTCACAACACCCCTTCCCCTCCCCCACTATATTAATGTAGTGAGGGAATTGTCTTGCGAGCTACTAAGGCTACCAAGATACTTGTGCTTAAGGCTGGCCCTGCACATAGTTTCGGTAAGAGATGACTTCTCTCTGTTTTTCGAAAGGGGCAGTGTGGTAACAGTCATGTTAAGATTTCAACAAACAAGTGTGTGTGCATTACACCAAGATGGTTGTTGGAGGTAGTAACCTTTTGTTGTTTTGTATACGTTCAAGTATTATTTGAAAACAGTTTTGGAAAGTACCGGTCCCTTCTTTACTCATCCAGCTCCTGAACTGTGCTGCTTTGAGTGTACTCTCTAATAACTTGAAGGATATAGTCTAGTTTGTGCCACTTAAAATCTAAGGGCACAGTTCTGAGTTTGCATTTCCTGTGTGCAGGAAAATGTGGGACTGGGTAGAACCACAGTGAAACTGTTGTGCCTTATCCAGACTCCCCTGTAACTTGCCGTGTTGACACACTACAGGCCCTTTGTGTGTCGAGTCACGGGCAAGACTTAGCAGTCAGGGTGTATAGTCAGTGTGTCTTTATGTGGACTCTCCTTTGCTCTCTAGCAGACTATGTAGGCTGTAGCCTTTTCATCACACTCATTGCACATATTTGAGAGCAGAAGTAACAGCTGAGGGGTCCATAGCTAGCCAGCATACGGGCACCAAATATTGCTTTTCCAGACTTTGGTCCTCAAGCTGCACCTATTGGTTTAAAAACTTCTACCAGTAAAAAGCAAGAACCACTGTGTAAACGTGAAGAGTAGTTCATCTTCTGCCTCTTTGACATTTATTAAAATATGAATCATAGAATCATAGAAGATCGGGGTTGGAAAGGACCTCAGGAGGTCATCTAGTCCAACCCTCTGCTCAAACCAGGACCAATCCCCAACTAAATCATCCCAGCCGGGGCTTTGTCAAGCCTGACCTTAAAAACCTCGAAGGAAGGAGATTCCACCACCTCCCTAGGTAACCCATTCCAGTGCTTCACCACCCTCCTAGTGAGGGCAATTTGCTCACTAAAGCATTGAAAAGCTTCATTTCAGACATCTTCTCTGATAGCCTAGTTTCTGTCTCTGGGATTTTAACTCACAAATACCACTTTTTAAATTTTTCATTGTGAAAATAATCAGATGTTGTGCCTCTTCTTGTGCCTTGGAGCCAATCAGATTATGTTGTTTTCTGCACAGTCATGAAGTTACTAGGAAAACAACCTATTCAATTCAACGTGAAATTTGTATTTTGAAAGTGTACGCAAATCTGTTTATTCTGATTAGTGGTTTAAAATTAATTAGTGGGTTTCGTGTCAGTGAGTGTGGTGACCAGTGCAGAGCTTTCTACCAATATGATAGTTCTTAGTTCTGCTTTTGATGTGATTGTGTTCTTGTTTTAAATGAAACATCCCATCTTTCAAGTTCATGGACTGTAATATTTTTGAGGGTAGGAAATTTTTAATTGTATTGTAGTTTTAGCAAATAAATATTCTGGCATTTTTACCTCTCCCCACTAATATCTTTGCAACACTTGAACATTTGTAAGAACCTGCCCCTTTTTAATCTTACTGGTGCATTTTGCCCATGCACATCATGTCAACTGTTTGCTAACGTTGGTACTGCCTTCTTTCTTTCCGTGTTCAGTCGCTGTCAGGGTTGAATCAAGAGGGCTGTGCTACCACCCTGCCTCATGCCTTCAGATCTGTCAAGGTATCTGTAGCTATTATTCACCAGTAAAGCCAACAAAAAACTCTGAGAGCCATAATTCTATTCTAATATGTGTTAGTCTGCCAGCTTCTAATCTGAAATTCAGAGGTTACGAACTTGACTGACCTGATTAAATTGCAGTAGGTTTTATGTTGCTTTAGCTTTTGGTCCTATCTTCAGTGAGCCTAAACCATGCAAATATGTTAGTAGCTAGCAGGGTTTCAATCCCTGTATGGATTGATTCTTACATTCTTGTTGCCTGTCACCATTTCTTTTATTTTCTCTTCCACAAGCCATCAACTGACTTGTAGCTTACTGGAAATGTCACTGCTTTTTTCTTTACAAGTTTACTCTTACCATAAAACGTACATCATCATCTGCTATGGAAACTTTATTATATTGAATAGTAAAAAGCATTAATCACAAGAAATCATTAATCCATCATTAACTAATCTTTGATCAGCACTTTCATTAGTTCTAACCACAATATTACTCCGATGGTGGGCAGGAGAGTGAAATTCAATTAATACTAATTTTGCTCTTGTGAAGATTTAGAGTGGGTTGTGTATTCGGATCAAAGCTGCTGTCTTGCATGTTTTGCATGATATTTAATTGAAAAACAGGTAATATCCCTATTCCCACCCTGAAAAATATTCAAACACAGCTTTGCCACTGTCCTTTCCAGAAGCAATACCTCGTTCGCCGTTTTATTCCTTGAAGAAGACGACTTGCATCAGTTCTGCAAAACAAGTGCCTATTGTACATCTTTTTTTAACAATAGGCTGTTTTTTCCCTTATATTTTTTTTCTGAAATGTGTCTAGGTGGACGGTAACTTCTGAAAAGCTAGTCGTAGACTTTCTCAATAAGGATCATTAATGTTGTTTTACTTATTTGTCCACAGAGTGATGACAGACCCACTATATCAGCAGCTTCACCGACTACCCAAACAGGTAATAGGAGAGAGATGCAAAAAGTCTAAAAAGAAGGGATAAAGTAGGTTAAATTGCTTGCTTGCATAGCTAGACTGTTAAAGATGTCATTCCTATCCGTAAGCTGGACTGCTCTGTCTGTGGGTCTGATTTGTTGTTAAATTCTCTCTTGAGTCACATATGTAAATAGAGCACAGAGCTGCTGGCACATTCTGTGGGAAGTAGTGGGGCTCCACATTTTCCAGGCTCTGGCATTGGTGTTGCCCTAATGACACATTAAATACAAAATGGAACAATTTGTTGGTAACAGTGCATGGAATGTGCTTCGCATGCAAGTGCTCTTGAAGGTGCCTCTTTCTGTCCTATGCTTTTATCATGCATGGCTGTAATTTATCTTGTCATTATGTTATAATTTTATTTTGTTCTTTTAATTACTACAGTGCTAAACTCGTAACCTTTTTCTTCTTTCTCCTCCTTTCCTTTCCTGTGCCTTTCCACATTTGTTCAGTCCACCTTTCCTCTCTGTATCCTGGCCCTGCCGCTCCTCCTTCCTATAGAAACCCTTCCCAGCGACCTGAGAGTTTCCTTTTCCGAGCAGCTGTAAGGGATGAAATGAACAAAGGTAGGTTATATAGCGGGAGAAGCTGGACTGTGTAACAAAGTTATATTAACTTCCATGTTAACCAATTTTTGCACAATTGCATTATCTTGACACCAGTCGCTAAACTTTCTTAGAATAAACCATTATAGTCTCATTTGTAATAAGTCCAATATTTTTGTCTTGGTAATACATACATTTAACAAATATCAAAAAATTTGATGTGCAAATTTGTGGAGTGTGTGTGTTGGGGGGGAGATTAGTGTTCTGCTCTCCTGAATTTATACTTTAAGAGGCTATTGTAATGCTATTTATTAATCCCCTTGATAGCAACAAAGGCAGCATTATAGACTTTGCATTGTACTGTAGTACATACCAGAATTCATACCTTTGTAGTAAGACTGAGGAAAGTTGTACAGAGCAACATTTCAGCTATCTAAAATTAATCCTTTTTATGCAAGTGTTTATTGGGCAAAAGAAAATTAACAGCATCTAGGCCTTGCTTAGATTAATAATCTAATGGAGGAAATCAATTTGTGAATAGAAATGTACTGTACCCAAACTTGCATACTGTGAGGGTATAATACTGCATTAAAGGAATACCTCCCAACCAAATGCAGTTTGTCACTTTCCTTCATGCTATTTTTCTAGCTGTTGCTTCATCTCCCTCTTCTGCCACATCTCCTCCTAATGATTCTACAGACCCCAAAGCAAGGCAGAACTCCAAGCAACGTGAGGAAGAGTTGGAGCTAATAGAGCAACTGCGGAAGGTGTGTACTAGCAGTAACTAGTATACAAACGTTTTAGCAAATTCACTGCAAGTATGATGCAAATGTTTCTTTGTTGTTTTGGACTTGCTTCATTTAACCAGTGCCAGCCATAGTGTTTTGGATAAATTAAATGTTAGTAACTTCACAATCTAAAATTTTTCCATTCAGTTGGCTACAGTATTCTTCATCTTACTCCTGTCGTGTAATGTCACTTCTCGTACACTGTCAAGCTGTCCACTCCTACCTGATTGCCAATGAAGCCAGTGTTCATCTCCCACTTGTTTGAAGATTTAAAGAGCATCTTTGTGCTTTCTCCCAGGCTGCCCCTCCCAGTTGGGAGGAACTCCCTGTAAACATCATTGTCCTCTTTCAAATCCCTTCTTAAAACTCTCTTTTGCCATGATGCCTACAAAAAGCTTGGCAATGGTTAGGCAATTGGTGTGCTCAGACCACTGCTAACTAATATCATGTTGCCTTTTACTACCCATCAGTCGGTATCCACCTGTTGTCTCCCGTCTGATACTTAGGGCTTGTCTTCACTACCGGGGAGATCTCTGCTGCAATCGATGCAGCGGGTGTCGATTTAGCGGGTCTAATGAAGACCCGCTAAATCGACGGCAAAGCGCTCTCCGGTCGACTCCAGTATTCCAGCTCCCCCAGAAGAGTAAGGTAAGTCGACAGGAGAGCATCTCCCATCGATACAGTGCAGTGAAGACACCGGGGTAAGTCGACTTTGGCTGCGTCGACTCCAGCCACCTTATTCATGTAGCTGGAGTAATGTAACTTTGGTCGTTTACCCTGGTACTGAAGACAAGCCCTTAGAGGGTGGGGCAGGGACTGTCCTTTTGTTCTGTGTTTGTACCGAAATTAGCACAGTGGAGTTGTGGTCCATGACTGGCACTAGACTACCACAGGACACATAATAAATAATAAAAATGCTATGCTCTGTTATGCTGCTGTGGTGTTTCACCCCAGAGATGGCTGCATTTCTGTAGTGCCGGAAGTGACTCTTAGGCCAGGTCTACACTACCCCCCTAATTCGAACTAAGGTACGCAACTTCAGCTACGTGAATAACGTAGCTGAAGTTCGAAGTACCTTAGTTCGAACTTACCTTGGTCCACACTCGGCAGGCAGGCTCCCCCGTCGACTCCGCGGTACTCCTCTCGCCGACCTGGAGTACCGCAGTCGACGGCGAGCACTTCCGGGTTCGACTTATCGCATCTAGTCTGGGCAAGAAAAGTCGAAACCGGGAGGG